CACCGCATTTCACCATCGTGTCAAATTTGCTCGCACCGGTTAATTAATTCATTTTTGTTTATCTGATACAGTGTATTTTTTTACAATATCTCCATATACTTCCATGGATCCGGAGGGACTGCGCTCATGGACGATACCCAAAGCTGATGAAACTCCTTGTTCGCTGTTACCCTGCTTCTTAGTTCCAGCGATATTTTTGTGGTATATGACGAGTTCTCCACAGTAACGGAATAGATACAGATTTTAGGGATTGGATCACCAAGTCCCTTGGTACAGGGCTGATCTGTAATCATTTTTACTGAGCATTCTTGGGGCTTATCATGCTTATCATGTGAAAGGCTTGAAAACAAGCTTTCATGTTAGAGTTATCTGCTAGCCATGCGCAGATGAAACGTTGGAATATTTCGGATATGACCAGTTTATTGGGTCTGACACTGAAAATTATGGGGCTATAGACTAATGAAATCTCAGAGTACATAGGGATAATCAAAGTGTTGTACTGATTGAGAGCATCGATGATTGTAAGTTATCAGTACAACATTCTGGAACACATAATAAGTGCTACACAACCCAAATCAGCATGTCTCTTTGACTGAACAAATTTCTGAAACGAATTGTCCCCGCATTAAGACAAAATGCACGCGGGTGTCGGCGAATGACACTTTAGAGTCGGCTGCATCAAAAGTCAATTTTTTCATCAAACCTACGCATGGTTCCGTGACTACTGGATTTTGCAATAATTAGACAAAAGCAACCTACCCTCGTCCGGGATGAACGAAGTTTGGTCAATCGTGAAATCCAGTCAAATTCTCCACGAATTACTTGTAAAATTCATAATTGTAAACAGCATCCGAATGATAAGTTACAAAGATCAGTCTGGACAAACCAGTAAAACGAGAGCTGTTCAAACGGTTGACCAATTACCGGATTATCGATTGCTTTTCTATCCAAACGCCTCGTTCGTTTTATTCACCGTGCCATTTAACAACACAAATCACACTCTTCAACATGGTCTGGAGAACGACAATGTCGTAGTTGTTTATCTGTTGTCCTCGTTAAAATGAATCCACCGACTACCACAGCGATCTGATTGAGCAACAGTCTAGTGATGATTTTGCGCGCGCGCTCGCACGACGAGGACATTGTACCAAATCCAGTACTGTTTCTTTTCTTTTCAAGGTCTCATAGTTTGTGTGAGAGAACCGTGAACATAGAACAGACGAAACCGATAATTTGCGGCTGCATAAAACAGAGCACTGCACCCATGTTCCTGGTCGATCTCCTGTCACCATCATTGTGTTGTGGTCCACAACGACAAGCACGTTCGTACCAGACCGAGCCTTTCAATGTATATGATTGCTCTGTCTGATTGGGCCAAACTAAACCAGGCACTGCAAATTGACATGCTAGATTACATATACAGAAATAGAGAGGGAGAGAGTTTATTTTTACAAATAACAATATCGTCATCATCTAACTGTTACAATGGAAAGCAAACACAGTACGGTTGTTATGGTCTATCTCGGTTCATCTGAACCGCCATCAATGACACCATCAATGTAATCAATGACCTAGTAACAGTTTAATTATGGTCATGTTAACCACATCACATCATACCACCAGCACCACCTGAACTCATGTCTGATCGTGTTTGAACACGGTTTTCTGTTCGTGGTTGATATGTTTGAACCGGGATGAACTGAATGAGTGACCTTCAAGTTTTCAATCGCACGGTGGTCTTCATGACACATTTCATTCGATCGGTCCATTGTGGTGATGAAAAATCGACCGGGGTTCTGCGTTGATTTTGAACTTCTTACCTAATTTCAGTAGAACAAATTTGACTATACCAGGCGTGCACTAAGACGAAAACAAATTGATGAATAAGATTTTCAGCTACGCTTCTGTGTTTCACTTTTACCCGATGAAACGGTATCAAATGGTAATGATTGATCACAACCGATAAACCCGTCCACAAACACTGTGTGTGTTTGTGATGGGAAAAGTTGGTCGCTTTGTGTTTAACTATCCCCGCCAGTGAAAAACAGGTCACAAGTGTCAGTGGACTTGAGGGACGGTGCCAGATCGCATTTGGTTTGGCCCAACGCGTCGGGTTTGAGTTTTCGGGACACGTGCGAAGAATTCAAACGTCTCAATCCACTAAAGATGATACCTTGTGCCAAATTAGTTTAATTGGTTAGTGTTCAACCGCCGAAGGTGGGCATATGTGTTTTTCTCCGAACTAAGCTGGACGTTACCAGACACAAGTAATTTCACATATTATCTCAACTTACTCTGTAGTCAGTGGATTCTTCCTCAAACCATCTGTTCCACTCTTGATCGATCCGGTTTGAAGAAAATATCCTTTGCATTGTTTTACAGTTGAACCGACCTGCTACTCGATTTGTCGGAAAGAAGGCGTTTGAGTTATGCTCTTGTTTCTCGAAAACATCAGGCACAAAGCGTTCAGTCAGACCAAATGTGTTTTGACACCGTCCGTCAAATCCATTATGTAAGGACTAATAACTGTGAGTTGCTTTTAACGAGCAGCGAAAGGTGCACACAAAGCGACCGACTGTCCCTACCACAAACTCACACCAACGATTCAGAAAGGGGTGCGTGGACGGGCTTGTGAGTTCTGATCAACCATTGCCATTTGACACACCGTTTCACCGGATAAAAGTGCAGCCGAATAGCAGCTGAAAATTCTACTTAGCAGTGTGTTTTCATTTTAGTGAACCACCTGGTGTAGACGATAGAAATGGTGTGCGATAACATCTGAACAAATATTAATTGGCAATTCCGTTCAGCCCTGGCATGATCTAGTTGGCACAGTCGTAAACGCCCGCCTTCTATGCTATGAGTCCGGGGTTCGAATCCCGGATGGGACGGTGAATATCCACTACTGATGAGCTGTAAGGAAAGAGCGAAACTCCAGTCTAGTGCCTCAGAATCTATGGATGACTAGAAGAGCTTAGGAATGTGCGTGAATGTGAAGTCTGAAGGACGTTCAGTTCTAATCAATCAATCAGTTTCAATTATCTCATAACACTACTCACAAGTAATAGTAAGTTGAATGCGATGTAAAACTGAAATATGAAAAACAAAGAAAGCATTGTGCTTTGCGCGAACACAAAATAAGTCAATTCGCGCTATCTTGTTGCTTGTTGCTTGCATGGTAGTGAAGATGCCAAGATTCCTCATGGGTTGGTGCACGAAGTCGACTTATTTTCAAGTGGAAGAAAGTTACCTACAACTAAATAAGTATATAAACCGACCTCCAGTTGTCTGGTGAATAAGGAGTGTATAGTTGGGCTATTTCTATTCCTCAGTCTTCACCCTCTTTGTAGGGATGATGTCATCCATTGTTGCAGACAACGTGATGAGTCACTTGGAAAAATACAACGTGTTATCCCCTGCTCAACATGGGTTTCGTCGCAGGTGATCGCATACCACTAGCATACTTCTGATCCGAGAAGAGTGAACAAAAGCAGCTAATCACGGTGATACAATGGAAGTCGTGTACCTCGACTTCTCCACACCATAAAATACTGTAGAGAAAACTACACAATTATGGAATTGCGGGGTTTTGTACTGGGTTGAATAGAAGAATTTCCTGGGCAAAACATCATGGTAGTTCTGGGTCGCTTTCTGATTTAATCACCGTAGCCCGAGTTGTGCCACAAGGATCCGTGCTTTGCCCTCAAAGTTTTCTAGTTTTCATAAACGACCTAACGGACATTCTTGGGCCACAATGTTTGCAGACGATGCAAAAATATGGAAAACGGGGACAAAACCAGAAGACTCGCCAGCGCTTTAGGGAACACTTAATACTGCCTATCAATGGTCGATCGAAAACGACATGGAATTCAATGCATCAAAATATACGGTTTTATTCCTACCACACACAAATCCCTTTTCCGTATTTTCTGCGATATCAATAATTTTGGAAAGTCCACAAAGAATGACTACAGAGATAGTCAAGGGGACTGTCTTCCAAGACTTATGTGGAAAGACTGGGATCATTGAGGCCGTACTCCACGCAATATGGCCGAATTCGAGGGGACCTGATTTTGGTGTATCAAATAACGCAGAACCCTGATCACTCATGTCGTTCACTGTTCGTCTTGTCGCCGAACGCTCACCTCAAGGGGCACTCATTCAAACTATTGCTTCAAATATGTCGACTATGATGTCGGAATCATTCAGTTGCCCTCAGAGAGTGTACCATCTGGAATTGTTTACCACCTCACGTTGTTTCGGCACCCACAATTGATTCTTCCAAGTACAAGCTGGATGAAACTTTGACAAGTTTTAAATTTGGACAACGTAGCAGCACAAGAAGTAATGATAAATTGTGACATTCCTCATTTTTCTATGAACGGTTATTCAATTCATTTGTGCTAAACCTTATGGGGCAAGAAAAGCGAACGCTTGTATTCCCCATAATAAAACTTTGACTTTGAGTTGAGTCAAGAGACATGTTTGTCACACAGGATAAACGTGTCACTCATCATCGAAACTGCATCAGAAGCATAGGACAACTGTTACCTTAGGAGATGTCATCATCACGATGTCTAGGATTCTAACCCGAACCGGACGACACATGGTATAGCATCCTTCATCGTCTCCAGGTCCAATGTACTCGTCTTTTATCCGATTTTTGAGTACAAAATGATACAACTGTGTCGTGATAAAAATATTTTATTTCCTTTCGGGGATCGTATTGGTCAGAAAAACGGTCGTCTCCAGGTCATCTCTATATCACATCGGACGGATACACATTGATAGATTTTTGTAAATATATCACAAGTACGGTTAGGAAGAACACTGTGTTACTATGTACACTGAAGAACGCTCGTCTAAAGCCAAACCTTGTGACTCTGTGCTTGAAGATGGAAAGGATATACAACGAAAGTCAAACAGAGAAAAGAAAGAATGCTCCGCAAATTTGAAGATCACAAGTAACTAAGCGTCTTTTTGTTATAACTGTCGTTAAGGCCACGGCATCTATGACTGGCACTCTCAAGGAGAAGAACGTCCTTCAATTGGTCACAATAGTGATTGAAACTACTGCTTCAGCACTCGAAGAGCTCACTTTGGTCGGAGGTGGGTGTCTCGGGTTGCGGCTGGCTATATGCCACCTGTATCATACCTAGGCCACGAGTAGAGGGATGATGACAAATGTTATGGCTAGATGTATATCAGGCTGGCTGACTTGTAGGCAGTAGTAGGTTCTCGTTTGGTAAGGAGTTGAATGAACCAAAATTCTGATCAGCGTCTGGTATGGACCAAATCAGCCCCTTTTACAGATTGCACTTGTTTTTGTCAATGTGACCAGTGTAAGCATCACTAAACACCATGAAGGGTGGTGGGTCACTGCAAAATCCTTCGCGACCAATTTGGCTAATCAAGCTAATTATTGGTCTCATAGAAGATAATCGTAGAAACAAATTGTTGGTTCACATGTAACCAGAGTTCACCAAGGTCATTGATTCATTCATCTAAGAAAGTGCCCGAGAAAATGTGCACATGTGCAGTGTGCTCAATTTTCAGGTAACTGGGGTAGTTCCTTTCAAATGAATCATCACCGTACAAGCTTAACACATCATCATCATCATTGCACAACGAAATACAGTGAGAAGCGAACTTCACTGATCGCTGCCAAACTCGCAATGCACACAAGGTTAGTGGTAAAATTGAAGGCGAACCGGGATTGGACCTATTTTGAGGGAGGGAGAATGAGATGAGCCACTATGGTCAACACACAGACAGTGCACAATCGAACTCTGCATACATACGGTTTCAAGCATTCTGGCCTGATAAGAAATGACAACAAGAATGCCATTGCTGTCGGTTCACGGCCATATCCTTTACTGTCTCCAACCAACCGGTTAGGGAGCCTTTCGAACCCCAGCCTGGAAGGTGAGAGACACCTACTCTACCTAATGGCTTTGTGTATTTCTTCATGCCTCGTCTCCACGTCATTTGTTGAACTCCACGTGGTTTCCTCCAACCCAGATTAGCTACAGCGAATAACGAGCGGTGCGGCAGACGATGGCTGGTATACGTATTACGTGCCCTAGCCAGCGAAGTCTACTCATCTAAATTTGGTGTGCTAGCAGGTTTATCCCTGATAGACTCATAAACACAGGACGGGTTACCTCCACGTTACTAACCCGTTCGCTCCATCCAACATGGGGTAAACTACGTAAACACCAATAATCAAAAACTTCTAATCGACGGATATCTTCTACTCGTAGATTCAGGGTCTCACAACCATAAAGCAGGACTGAACGAACGGTGGCACAACATACACGACTTTTCAACTTCAATAAAGCGTCGCGTCTAAGCTAAAGGTGTTTCAGTTCTGAACGCCACTGCTGGTGACCAACGGCCTACCTAGTTCGTTGTAGACCCTTACACGACCGGAGGCATTCCTTTTCGAAGAAGGGAACT